GAATGTATGGCCGTATGCACAATGCATCAAAGAAAATAAAATAAAAAATGACCAAAAAAAGAAAAAATGAACTTCGATCTTCTTCTTCTTCCTCTAAGGAGGAAGAGGATTTTGGCACATTGTTATAGGTCATTTTTGACGTACTTGTAACTTCGGGATGTATAAGGAGAGAGCCGGCACTAATATGGTCCCGCCAGTGCCCAAAACACTGTCAGATCATGGGAACACTATAGTAATCAGCCTGATATTGGGCGACATCTAAAGAAGTGTCAGAATGACCTTAAATTGCATGAAAGGGTAGTTTTGGATACCGTACGGATACATGTAAAGTTTTGTTGCATTCTGACTAGTTTTAAGCTGATCAGGACGAAACTCAGTTTTCAAATCCAATTCATTTCGCACTGAAAATAGACCATATCACTACAACCCTATTTTTTCGGTCTCAAAAGATTATAACACCATTGTCATTAGATCCAGAACGTCGAAAAACCCCCAAGTACCAAATTTCGACTCAATCGGATCCTCCAGAACCATTCTTGGCATGCCTTACAAAAAATGGTAGGTTTTACACTATTGCGGTGTAGCCTTGGTGAACAAGTTTTCATTTTTAGAAGTTGTGCTCTTTTTTTTTTTGGATGAATTTTAAATGCTCATAACTTACTCATTTTGGGTCCAATTAAGCTCAAATTAGGATATGAGCTAGATCCCAACGATATGCTCGTTTTGACATATGGCACGCATCATGGCGTGGCCTGAAACAAAAGAATTGTTAGAGAGAAAATGGGTTCGAAACATGAAAATTCAGATTTTAAAAAGATGAACATCTCATTCTTTGAGAAGCTATAGCTCAAGATCCCGATATTGGATCGTCACAAGTATAGGTCTGTTGCGATCGTGCTTTGAAGAGTTTCAGTTTGATATGATTTTTATACAAGATCGGAGACCGAATGACACCAAATTTTTGGGTTGAAGAACGAACATTTTCCAATAGGCAGAGTCTCATTTTTCGATGACCTCCTGAATTTGGAATGCGCTCAAACGGAGACTAAAATGGACGAAATCAAAATGAAGTCTCAGAACATCACGGATCGTGCTAAATCGGTGGTCGAAGAATCATAAGTTTATGGACTTCGTCGGGTTTTTGGTTCTTTGTTAAAACTCTATTCCAAAACGATCAATGTGTATCAAAACATGTGTAATAATCAAAGCATTGATTATATGACATTTGATCGTTCAAATTGCCAGCAAAAATGTCCAAAAAAGCTCCCAAGGCCTAGCTATGACAAAAGGCCCTTCATGGATGGATGATTTTGTCATTTTATGAAAAATCCTTAGGGGTATTTTGGTTATTAATTCTAAAAACGCAATTAATTTTTTTATTCATTAAATGTATAATTTTCAATAATTCTAACGGCTTTTGAGTATCCACCTATATCTTGGGATTATTCTATATAAGCAAAGTGAAGTCATTTGTAAAAAAAACTCTAGAGAGTGTTGGAAATTAATGAAAAGAACTTGATAATTCTAAGAGTTTAGGCTTATTCTTTTGCTTTGATTCCAAATCTAAGACTCAATGAGAGATGAGAGATGAGAGATGAGAGATAAACAATTCCTATAGAGAGAAAATGCCAAGTTTAGGCTTATTCTTTTGCTTTGATTCCAAACCCAAGACCCAAAGAGAGATGAGAGATAAACAATTGTTAGAGAGAGAAAATGCCCTTGGTACCTACCACTCCTTAGAACTTCAAAATTCCACTTCCCTAGGATTCCCAACTCCCAATCCTATCTCATACACTCTAGCTCTCATACACCCTAAGATTCCCAACTCCCAATCCTACCCCATACACTCTAGCTCCCATACACCCTAGGAATCCTAACTCCCAATCCTATTCCATGAACCGTGCATCCTACCTTAGCTTTAGCTTTCTTACACCCTACCCTACTCCATACACCATAGTTTATCCCATACCCCTAGTTTTATACACCTCAACCTACTCCATATACCTTAACCTACACCTTACACTCTAGTATCTATACACCCTAGTTTCCATACACCATACCTTACCCTAGCCCACTTATGCCCATACACCTAAAGCCTAGACGTTAGCCTTGACGCATAAGGATCAAGACCTCTCTCTAAAAGTGCATGCAAAGGGACTCTTGAAGGCTCACATAGGTTCAAGCCCATTGTAGATCCATTCTCTTCTCTCTCTCTCTCTTATTCTTCTCTCTATCTCTCTCTTCTCTCTCTCAACACAGACCCAGGGCGGGTCCGATCCTCCCCCTCTCTACCACACTCTTTTCTCTGTTTCCCTCTCTCTTTGTTCACTCTCTCTCACGTCTAAAAACGCACGGACCCACACCAAGGGTGGGCTTGGATTTCTCTCTCTCCTCTTCTCTTCCTCTCTCTCTCTCTCTCTCTCTCTCTCTCTCTCTCTCTCTCTC